CCAACGATGCCTTCAGAACCATTTGTTGGGCGACCTGCTTTCGGATGCTAGGGCCTTAGTCCGACTGCCCCAATTCACCTGCACCCCCACCCCGTTTTTTTCCGCTTTGCGGAAGTGGACGAGTATGAACGGGTCCGGCTAGTGCAGACTTGCTGTCTTTTCGCACCTTGGAGCGGCTAATGCCGGTTGATTGTGACAAGGTTTAGAAGGCTCGATCGAGAAGTTACAGAGGAAGCGGCACTCATAGCTTTCGCTAGGTGCTGGGTCGGTTGCGTGCTCTCGCATGTAGTAGAAAGTCACTGAGGAGTCCGAGCTCGAAGCAGACTAACTCCGAGGACAAAAGCCGTCGGCATGGCGCAAGTCTCCAAAAGGTCGATTCGACACCTTCCTGTCATGCTGCGAGTCATGTTGCTGAGATACGTCGAAAATCTTGCGGTGCCGCAGCAACGACATCCCACTTTTCTCAGCTTGCAAATTCGGGCCTGTAGCCATACCTCAATCAAACCGGTCGCGGCATGATGCGAGATACTGCGAGATAGAGGGTTGGATTGAAGCCAAGCAGCTTCGTGCAATGGGAAACATTATCGACAACAACCTCTGTTGCGCCCGCTCCGCGAAGGTCAAGGCCGGGAGGTACTTTGATTCTACCTTCGCCAGGTTGGAAGTAGTCCTTGCTGCAGGTGGAACTGGACCGATTCAAGAACCGCCTCGAAGCCTGCAACAGGAAGCTGGATGCTTTGGTGCAGGCACGAAGTGGAGGGGCAGAGGGGCAGAAATTAAATCAATGCTTTGTGACACCTGGTCAAGGAGGAAATCAATGACATTTTTGGACAAGTTGACGTAGACGGCAGCCAAGCTCTTGACCTCAAAGAGGCCAAGGCTTTGGTAGGCCAGGCTCCGACTCCTGAGCAGAGTGCCCGAGAGCGCGTGACGTAACCGTACGCACCAACACCGCATGACGAGGCAAGTTGGAGGAAAGCGGCTTCTTGGATATCTAGAGTCCGAAGACCTGCATTGAGATAAGTTGCCTTAAGTTGCTTTCCAGCCCAACCGTCACCGTTATGTTTGCATATGCTGACTAGCCTGACAAAGACTCGCGGTCCCACTTTGCTCGGTACGTAGGCAAGGTCAACAACTTAGCCCGAACACTGATATGTTTGCAGATGTCCCAGGCTTCGAATTCCCTTCAGACGTCAGCACCTTCGATCAGGATGGCGACGGAAACATAAGCAGAACAGAGGCAGCACATTACAGCAAGCAAGAATGCAGCTTGTCATGCCGTAGCGTGTTCCTTATGCAAGCATGCGAGCATGCTGTTAGACTCCTTCTGCAGGTTTCCCTTGCTGTGCGAGCAGCACTTCGCGAACGTCCCAAGCTTCTGGGATGAAGGTTTGCATGTAGCGCACTTTACAGGTACCATCACGGGAAAATTCCCTGCTGTGGAGGAATGCAACATCGCATGCAAGGATGCTAGAATTGGCTGAGGAACTTGGAGCTGTTGAGCAGCAAGTGCGAAGATGTGGATCTCTTGAGCAGAGATGCATGGGACTTGACACTTGGTCATTTTTTAAAACAGGGGCGCAGACAAGCATTATTCCATCGCGCGTCGAGCTGCGCATCGGTGCTTGCAAGGATTGATGTCACGAAAGAGCCTTACCTGCAAATACTGCAGCCTGTTCTTCGGCTGCCCGTCATCGTGGCAGGGCACACGGATAGGAGCGACGGAGAGACTGCTTGCGTTTGACACATCGAAACGAGACGGAAGCGTTTGACAGATTTGGACCGAGCCAGAGGCCTGGGCAAATAAATAGGTTTGCCTGAATGCTGCGGACACTGTCATCATTCGTATCCGTCTCCTGCTGGAACCCGGAATGTTGCCACGATGCAGCGAAAATCTGCTCGGCACCTCGGAGCAGATCCGTTTCCGAGCCCATGCAAGTTCTTCCCGCCCTTGCACAGCCTTTTCTCGACTAGAAAATTCAACTGGGGACCTTTCGAAAAGGATATCTTTTTATCCAACCTCGCATCGACACAAAGTCATGGTGGACCTTCCAGCAGCACGCCGCCTGTTTTTTCGTAGTACTTCGTCCACGCAATGATGACAGCATCTAAATGTGCAACTGCCGTTTTCTTGCAGACATCGTGAGCCCAGCCTTAGGCGGCAAACCGGTGGGCTTTGGAAGACAACTCTTGCTGGCGAAAAACACGGCTGCTGCATAAGCCGGTCAGCCCGCTGCCAGGATGGGTACATCAGCATCCCAGAGCTGTCCATGTTCTACGGAGATCTCGGGAAGGCCACAGTTTCAATTTGGGCTTTCTATGTCAAACCGCCTTCATCAGACCCGGTGCCCGTTGCTGTTTTTGGCTTTCCTTCTTGTCCCGTCTTGCCTATCCCTGCAGGTCATGGATGAGAAGCCACCGACATATCAGGACAACAAGACATACATGTTTCATGCTGCAACGATTTCAGGATGGTTGCATTTTGCAGCTAGGCTTCCAACTGATTTGAGTTGAACTCAGCTAGCACATGTTCCCGAAACTGAATGGCTTGCATGTTGCTTCCGTTTTGGAGGTCCTCAGTCTTTTGGGTTAGGACAACTTGCTCGCAGCACCAAGTCGGGGGTTCTCATAGTCTACGTTTTTATGGGTGGCGTACATATATACATGTAAGCATGCATGCATAAATATATATATATATATATATGTGTGTGTATATATATATATATGTAGGTGTATATATATATATGGATATATATATATATATGTATATATATATATATATATATATATATATATTTATTTATTTATTTATATTTACATGTTTAAGTAATGCAGAAAGACATGTGCATGCACACCCTACAGACACAACATACACTATACACAAGTATACGTATGTTTAGAAAAGAAGGCAATAGCCTGAAACCGCAAGCCACCCGGTGTCACTCAGGCAGATCAGGTAGTTTCGTCGGACCTATATCTACAGACCTTGCCAGGCTTGTCCGAGTGTGAGTGTCAAAAAAAACCGAAGCCAAGCCCATTTAGATGCACCCCAGGTGCCTGCTGCTCTATAGGTTTGCACTGCCAAGATGTACAAATTTTGAATGCACTACACTACACCATTTTCAGTTTTGATTTGTTTGCGGTCCAAGCACCCTCGGGTCCACCCATGCCACCCCCCTCACCCAACCTTCGATCTGATGCAGCGACTCGACGTGTCGCTAAAACCCGCACCCCCCCCTCCTCCTATCCGACCGCCAACCGTTGGGTCAAAAGAGGGTGCAAGGGAGGGCGGTGGCCTGGCGACACGTTTAAAGTCGGCAAGCACACTGTGTAACGGGAGCTCAAGCTAAGGGCACTTCGCCCTGACGTCCGCAAGTGCCCCGCGTCAAGGGCCCTTCGAAGGAACTGGCCAACCTGCTTGGATACAAAGAGAAACCTTTGGATCACAAGTGAGCGTGTGCCGGCAGATCTCCCAGAGAGGAGGACACCTGACCTGGCTTGGATTGGAGCTCCTGGAGTGAAAGGCTGAACTACTGCCTTTTGCCGAAAGAGGCTATGATGACCCGTATGATCGATAAATGTGTGAGAATGATGAATAGTCTATCATACTCTCGATGCTTGGAAGCACTTCCTGTAGGTTTCATGCAACTCTTTGGCAGACTTGGTCCGTAGAATGATATTGCCCTTTGTCATGTGCTGCTGCACTCATAATCTTGCTGTTACTAGCTGGTTGACTGATCTATGTTAGTTCGCAAACCAAGCGTAATTGTGCAATTGCGTGTTTTTTTTGCACACATCCGCTTAAAGAAAGACTGAGGAGCTCCTCGAGCTTGCGAAGAAGTGGGGGCTCCGTTGGTCCGCTGGTTCTTGCAAGCCCGGAGCCCGGCGATGCACTGCAGGTACGACACGGACAGCGACAGCGTACTGACGTACGAAGAGTTTGAGCTGTTTTTTGTCGATTACCTCTGCAGGACTGGCTGTTGCAATTGTTGCCTGTCTAGGTCATGGCTTCTAGGCTTCAGGGCATCTTGACAGCCCATTTTCGACCGGAATCGTCGCAACTCCAAACAGGTTCTCGCCCTTTGAGGCGTACGATTGTATCAACACCGATTGTAGAGGTATCCCAAGCGGAGCTGTCAGAGGCGTGCCATGTGGGTGACAAAACTACCACTCCAAATGCTAGTACTGTTACTACTACTACTACTACTACTACTCCTCCTCCTCCTCCTAGTGCTACTACTACTACTACTACTACTACTACTACTACTACTACTACTACTACTACTACCAGTACTACTAGCCCGAATTGCCAGAAGCGAGCCACAATGACCAAGAGAAGTGGTGGTTTGTTCATGTCTGTTCAGTTCATCGTACTGACCGGGATTATGGGAGTCGGTAGAATTCGGGGTTTACTGTGCAGAACCAGAAATGTTGTGCATTGAAGCCTTTACGGAACCATCCAACGCAGGACTTGCTTCAAGCCCGAAGAATTTGAGGTGCAGGACTCTGCATCTGAGCCTGACAAAGCTTGAATGTGATGCAGGGCACTGCTCGTTAGAAGCTGTAAGACCAGCAGTGTTCAGATCAGCGTTCGCGCCCCTTCGTTTCACATGTGCAGACTTTCAATGCCTCGAAGTATTTATTACATTGTTTTGGCGCGGCTGTCGTTCAACAACGACTTGAACTGCAGAATCCGATTCTGCACAAAGCAGCAAGCCGCCAGCTTGTCCCGACATGCGATGTGGAGCTCGCAAAGATTCAAGCGTTGCTCAAGCAATCAAGCATCTTCCTGAGCCATGTCACCGTGCAGGAGTTGGAGACTTGCTCATTGCTTCTGTTTCAATGCCTTCTGGATCTGCAGAGTCCGACGTGCTCGGGAACAGCTGGCATCTTCAGCAAACATAGACTTGGACATAAGTGACACAGACTGGGTATTCGTGCAGCCGCGTCAGTAGGGTTTCCATGCGTTTCCCAAACGGGTCTAACAATAGCAGCCATGGATGCCACTGGCAGTTACATCTCAAATGTCAGGCACGCCGTAGTTGTGCTTAGTTGTGGGCGACGTCCATACTGTCAGGTGATCTCATGGACTTGGTTCACTGGCAGCGGGAGCTGGCTGACAACTTGGAGGCAGTCCTCTCTGAAGGATAGGAACGATTTGCAGCAGCAAAATCGCAACTAGTGCAATATCATCTTCAAACTAGCAATCTGACCAGACGAACCGCCAATCCCAATCGTTCTCAACACTTCCTGCGTGAGCTGCTTTCATTGAGGACGATCTGCAGTGACATTTGCAAATCTCGAAAAAAACTGTCGGTATTCGCATCTGGGGCAGCGACTGAAAAACATTTGCTTTGTGGCACAGATGTTGCTTAAAACCATTTCATTCCCAAGCCGCTTAATTTTCAGCTTTGACTCACCTTTGGGAGTGGTCCTGCTGCGCCCCTGGGGGGCCCAGACCCTTGCAGTGTGAGAATGCTGCAGCCAGTGCAACAACCATTCTGACAACATACGACTTGGCGAGTGAAAGTTACACTAGCGCCAATGCTTGAAAGAGGCCATTTAGGCAAAGGTGGGAACAGCTAGTCTTGCAGCTGGCGTCTCTCAGGCCCTGTCGCGCACATGCGATGGAATCAGCACTGCGATTGAAGGCATGTCCATCTCGAAAACCTGCAGTGGTGGTGGTCGCGCAGCCAGGGCGAGAAATTTGCAGATTCGATTTCGGATGATTCGATTTCGGATTAAGGCTGCTTCTAACTTCTAAGTAGGGCAGAACTTGGCAGGTTATTTTGCTTTTGGGGCAAGTAATTTGTTTTGGTGATCCGCTGCACGCGAGGCGCATGCCTGCGACGTCCCGCAGTCATCGTATTTCACATGACATTGTGGGATTTTCTACCCGAGTCGTTTTGTCCGGCTTGTTCAGGTATCACCGATATACAGTAGTCAGGTCGTGCAGGCACAATGCCTCAGTACAGTAGGCAGTTTTGCAGCCAGCCACGCTAGCCAAGGGTCAACCTCACAATCCGGCAGGGCTGCAGGTGTCTTGGCTAGCCTGACTGGATTTTGCCGAGTGCATATTTCTGCACGGACATGTGGGTGATCTTGAAACGCTGAACCATTGGGGTTCCGAGCAATGCGAGCTGCGACTCCCAAGCGCAAGGTGCACGAGAAGTTCAAGCTGGACTCTGGCGTGCCGATCAGGACCGGTGCCAAGGCAAAGGCCTCCGCCAAAGCCTATACGAAGAAGCGCTCCTCGAGCCGGGTCTCCACCATCTCCCTCACCTCCAAACCAGGCCCGCACGTTTGATTCAGAGGCTTCTGGTAAGGAGAGAAAGACACAAAGAGGTTTCCACAGCAAGAGAGACAAGACCGTGGAAAGAAAGACAGAGAGAGAGAGAGAGAGAGAGAGAGAGAGAGAGCAGCCATTTTCTGCATGCAGCAAGAGCAGCCATTTTTTTGCTCAAGTCGACCTGCCGCTTCCTTCGGGGGTCAATCGAGGGTGGCCCTCCCGGCTTACTGCTGTGCGCAGCAAGCCTGTTGGGTGGACGTCCCTCGGAGTGGCTTGAGTCACACGCCGAAGCCGTGTTGGCCTCAGTGGCCTCTTCTCCCTCCCTAACCCGCGACCTGCGCCATTACGCGCCGCACCGCTGGACTATCTCAACGGCCTTCCTCGCGGGGGCACCCGCCGCTACGCATCCTCCTTCAGGACTTTGGCACGCAACAGGGAGTACCCCGCCGCCCACACCGAGGACTTCGAGTACTGCGACCGAGGACTTTGCCAAGGTCACGGGGCGAGCCAGTCTGGGCTCGAAACCCAGACGGGGACAGCCACCGAGGAAACAGGTACTGCTACACCGAAGACGCCGAGGGACCGCTCCTACTCGACTTCTACAGCAGACCGGTGGGCAACCCCCAAGAAGAAGGACACCAAGGAAGCGGTCCGGGACAAAGGACAAAAGATGACCTACAAGCAGTGGTTGCAATCGTGGGGTGGGGAGAAATTGTTGGAGAACCGTTCCCTCCCGATACACAAACTTTTCAGAGCTTTTGAGCTTGAGTGCTCCTAGCTACAGGGTCTGAGAAGCCGATCGTACTCATATGCTTGTCTTTGCTGCTTTACCGCTTAATTTATTGTGCTTTGTGTGCGGTTGTGCTATCTCAGTGCAGCAATTCCAAATTTCGTCGTGCTGGCCTGCATGCAAATTCAAAACTTGGAGTACGCGACAACTAGCTCCAACTGTGCTGGGCACCAACAGGGGTGAAAAATCATGTTTCCTTCCTTCCTCTGTACTCTAGTTTAGCACCCCCATCCTTTGCCTCTGCGAAAGAAAGAGAGAGACGCTGCCGCCGCCGCCGGTTTTCAGTTTGCACTCGCTCGTCGTAGGCCCGTAGGCCCTTCAACCGAGTGCACGCATGTGTGCGGGGCGTGGCTGTCGCTACTTCCCTTGGCTTTGAGCAAGGAGAGACACTCTAGCCAGTTTGGCTCAAGTCGGCGCACACTTCCTGGTTTTGCATGAACTGTTACCGTCCACGGTGGCTCGAAGGGCGAGCATTTTCGGTTGACCGCGCAGCGACGGCTTGCGACCACCCGTCTCAGCTGTGGCTGTGGTAGCCCCGACATTGGTGCCACCTCAGTGGCCCACCAGTAGGGGGTCAATACTACATGCTCGACGATCAGCAGTTGTTCGACCTCAACCCGACCCCAACACACAGAAGCGCATGTGTACCCTACAAACTGACGCCAATGTCGGCCACTCCGCCGGCGGCATCAAGTGAGTACCGGTCTATCGGTCCAAGTAAGTGCAGGGGGCTTCTCAGAGAGGCATAGCACAACGGAGCGAAGGAGGCTTGTCCCAAAGGATGATGCAACTGCCACCAGATCGGACGGGCACGGGGCATTCGACAAGGATCCAAAAAGGAGACACGAAATGAGGGATGAGGTAGAGTTAGTTTCCCTTGGGGCCGGAATGGCCGCAAGCCAGAGAGCTAATAGGCGGTTCGGGGACGGTTTTTTCTGTGAGAACCTTGGAAGGGTTGAATGACAATCGAGGAAGCACCAGTGTGAACCAAGGCGGATTCACTGTTTGAAGGCGCTGCCGGTTACCGGGGCGTGATTTGATAGGGCACTCCGTTTTTGTCAGTGTTACACCTTCGTGGCAAGGACCAGTGGCGGCGCCGTGCCCTGGAAGGGGCTTGCCGGCTGAAGGAAGGAAGGAAGGAATGGAAAAACGAAACGAATGGCAGAAAGGAAGCGATGGAAAGCGCAAAGGTTTGTGCAGTGTTGCTTGCATTTGCAGCCTGCGGCAAGCTAGCAGGCAAGCACGCAAGCAAGAGAGAGAAAGGGATCGTAATCATCTCTGCCAAACGATGGGAATTCTTGCCCATTCGCACTCATTCGGCAGGCACACGCTTGCTGGATGATTGGAGCGAGGCTTTTGTGGTATCCGAGCAAGAGGCTACGAACATCTACAATGAGCTGTATGGATGCTTGTCTGACCCGGTGCTTTCAGAAAGAAAGGCTCGTTGTGTCTGTGCCGAACCCGTGTGAAGTTCAGGCGAACGTGCCTCAGAAGGAGAGCGGGCCTTCTCAAGCATTCAGAGCATGCGAGAGTTCAGTGCCCAATGTTGTCAACGCCGCCCGGCTTTTCAACATGAACTGGGGGATGCTGTTGTACACGTTTGACGCTTTTCAGAACAAGAACCCTACACTTACAATCAAGCCATGCCTGGACATTATGGATTGTACTCACCCTTCGCAGCCTTTACGCCAGCTTGTCCCGCACAAGTTCGTTGCAGGCGCACTACTGCTCCCTCTAGTTCGCGATGGCTTCTAGGGTCTTTTAGGGCAAGCGGCTCTTGGCCAAGCGCCTTACATGACTTTACATGCGTGCACATGAGAGTGCAACTGGAGGCAAACGCTTCCGCAAAACACTTTTGGCGATGTGGGAGCTCATGACATTGGCTCTGGTTTTGGTGGACACCGTGCTGACCCCGTTGACACTGGCTTGGCCAAGCAGCAGGAGCACGCCCTTCCGATCCACAACGTTTTTTCAGGCAACAGGCGAAACTAAGGTTTTGTTTTGGCCACAGCGCCGCAGGTTGCGGAAGCATCGTTTCTCCAGCCTTCAAACCTCGTAGCCAGAAAGAGCAAGCCAAGTCTGGCATTAAGCAAGAAGCGAAGCACAGGCATAAATTGGGTTTCTACAAGGTTAAGACGCAGAAGGAGCAATCATCAGCGGGTCTTGTCCAGAGTTGATGTCGCATCATGTCGCAGTGCTCCTTCAAGGTGAGTCCGTGGATATGGAGCCTTGATATTCTGATGAGCTTTGCCCCAGCGATCATAGCCAGTCCGTGTTCCCAGAAGTTCCTGCTCGCCAAGAAATACGTGGGTGGATCGTCTGCATTCAGTGTGCCAAGGCGTGCTCCATCAGCACCAGCCATGTGCACGATTGCACACAGTGGCAAGATGCACTTGATATGCACTTCTCACATAAAGGCATATCTATCATAACCATTGTTCTGCCAGTTGCGTTGCGCGGGACGACACACTATAGTCGTGAAGACTAACTGGCACGGCAGGGGGGGGAACAGCCGGGAACTATTTTTCGGTGCAGCTTCACCGTGTGTCACCGTGCATTCTCGTCTTGTCCTCGTGACAACCTGCTCAACTTCTTGTTGGCCGCAAAGCACACTCTTCAGAAATCTGAACCAGAAATTTCTCTGCAGAGTCCCATGCTTTGCTCACTCGTGCGCCCAGGCTCAGCATTCCCGCTTGATGTGCAGATCTCGGATTTGCAAGTGGCTGTGTTCAGGAGAAGAGCCATAATTGAAGGGTCTACCCACAGGTCTGAAGCAGTCGTCAGTTGAGGTGTGCTTACTGGCGGCGGATATCTTGATCTTGTTCGGAATCCAGGACGAGGGAATGAGATTGCTCGTCTTGCTCCGGCTGATGCGTTTCTTGAAAATGCAGAGGGCCGCTGGGCTTGGGAAGCAAATCACTCTGTTTTCGGCGGGGTTGCCTTGCATCCTGGGCATGCATTTTCGGAATGGTGTTTCTAAGAGATCATGATCTTGGCGTTCTCCCCGTGTTTCGACAGTGAGAACCGTGAAGCGCCACACGGAGGAGCTTGAAGCTTTCACGGACTGTCACGGGTAGGGCCCGGGAGAAACTTCGAAACGCACCTTCCAAGCTGCCAACACCCCAAGTCAATTTGTTTGCAATCGTGCGTGCCTCTTGCTGTGGAGTGGTTTGCAGAATGTGACAACCGTGTGAGTCCAAGTTAGGCAGCACCTACACGGACTTGCGAGACGGCGATGACTTGGAATGCGTAGGTGTAGGACCCTCAACGGTCGTGCTATGAAGCTACAGCAACCATGAGTCATTATGCGAGCTGACTGCCAAAAGAGTCGAACCCTGCATGGGCCGGAAGTGGGAGGGCTCATTGATGACTGGTTTTGTCCACAGCGGAAACAATCGCCACGGGCGAACAGCTGACAAAAAGCGGCAGCAATGCTCTGATGTTGTCGGTATTTGTCGGTTGATGCTTGCTTGGAACATCTTGAGATTGAAGACTGACATGCGAACCTGTGTGCCGAAGACTGGCAATATCAGGTCATTACTACCTTTGAGTACAAGCTGGCAGAGCGTGGGAGTACCAAAGTGGTGTCATGCCTTGTCATTCTGCAGTGCGTTGCCACTATCCTCATTGTGAACCACATCTTGGCGTGCTTGCTGTTCTATGTTGGGCATCTTGGGAAGATCTGGAACCGAAACAACTGGATCGAGTTTTATGAAGTTCTGGAGCAGACGCAATATTCCCAGTATATGCACCTTGGAGAAGCTCACAGGGGAGTTGGACCACATCTGCTGTGCCATGCAATTGTGACTGCGTCCACTGTGCTGAGCTCAGGACATGCTTCAATTGGGTCATTGCAGAATACACTCCAGCACCATTTCCATACAAACCTCAAAACGAAATTGAACAGACCTTCATTATCGTGTCTTGGCTTCAACTGGCAGACTGTGACATTCGCGGTCCTGGCATGGCTCTGCACCTTTGAGGTGATCATCCTGACATGCTTGCCTTTGCTCGGCTCTCAAATCGGAAAGATCAGCGGCACCTTGAACTTGATGAAGGAAAAAGCACGTGCGGGAGGCTCAGACGCAACCCGACTCCTGCAAAGCAACATGCACGCCCTGGGTGATACCACGAACATGTGCAGACCCAGCTTTGGACAGTTCCGCAGGAACGGGATATGGTGCGAAGAGAGCCTCGATCCGGCTTGTTCAGTGTTTCAGGGACGATGAGATTTCCGCACCGTGCTCACGGACAATTTTGCTGGCACGTGAAACATCTTTTCTATGCAACAAGGTAAGGCCGCCCGAAGTGCTTACACATGACCAGAAACATGCAAGGAGCTGCAGAGATGGCTTCAGAAGAGAGAAGCACCGGGGCGACTTATGAGGCTGCTCAAATGATTAAGCATGTTGGGAGAGACGACCAAGAGTCTTTCAAGATAACTTAGCAGCACTCCTCGCGCCAGCCTCATCATGGGCATTCATGCTACTGCGTATCCAGATCTCTGATGTCTTCGTGTACAAAATGGTTGCAGCACGCATGTGCGTGCACATGACAAACACGCCGACTGACTTTGCAGATGCGCGCAGGCGCATGCTCGCTTCCTTGGACAACGTCCTTGACTCTCGGGAATCGCCACTGGAGATCAAGGAACCCATGGCTCTCAAGTTTCTTCCGCACAGCTTGTTAGAAGAATTGCGAATCGTGAAGATGAGCCAAAAGCTGGGAATGCACCCATTACTTCACATGCTGATGGACGATGCCGGGCCGCAGACTTTTGGTCCGTGGTGGTTTGATACTCTGTGAGACTGTTGAAGGCTTCATTCGAGCATCCAAGCAGAGTAGTATTGGGGGGTTCGTTGCACCAGTCTCTTCCCCTCCTAGACGCGCTCGGACAGTCGTTTTCATTCGGTTTTGCCCACACGACTGCGCGATGGCTTGAGTTTGGAATACTTTGTCTGCTAAGGGTGGCTAGCACTGCACTTTGTGGTTGTTGCTAGTTGAGATGGCTGGGAAACTCTGTCAGACTAGTCAGCATGCTTGTTTGTAGCGAGGCAGGCATGGCTCTTTCGCCTTGGAGAGCTCGCTGGAATCTAGGATGGGTTTGAGAACCAGGCCGATGTAGTACAATCAGCTTGTTCCCGCCCATTTGAAGCAGGAGCATGTTGATACTGTTGCGATGGCGGTGTCATGTTGAGGAATCGGTTGAGAATTATGTGTTTCAGAAACTGAGTTGTGGAACGGGCAATCCTCCTCGATTGAAGGTCAAGGTCGTGACGGGTTCCACACCGAGCAGGATCTATTCGGCACCTTTCAGACGGGCCGTGGAATGCCGGAAAGGAAGGAATGGATTCCGACAGAGTACAAGAAAGAGTGAATTGGAAGGCGGCCCAATGCTTCCCAATGCTTTTCCTCATGCTGCAGATGCATTGGGCAGCAATGGTAAGGATTGAGAAAGTGATGTATGATTATGTAATTTAATTATGTATGTATGACAAGACAGAGTTGATCATCAACTGGCAGCATCCTGCTTTGGGCTGGAGCTCTACGCTGCCCATCCTGAGACGCGAGAGTTCACTGTGTGGCGATGCCGGTTGACCAGTGCTGAGAAACGGCAGGTCAAAGACACACTGCCAACGGCAAGAAGAACATGTCGAAGTAATTCAACAGGCAGCTTGTCGAATGGATGCGGTGGTAGACTGGGCCATCTGCGATCCGAAGAGCCTGGCCCCTGAATTGAACGGATACTGCTCGGCCGTTTGCCTCATGTCAACACCTTCTTGGCATGTCTGCGACATGCCCATCAACAACAAACGCGGAAGCAGAACCTGCGCTTCGGGGAAGTCGGCGAGGCCGAGCCTTCCCGGACTGGACCGGTGTTGGACTTCAGACATGCGAGAAGGCACTAGACTGCGAATGATGTACATCCGACATGAATGCTGCAGTCAGCGCATGTTCGGTTTTGGATTTACTGATGCATGTTTTATCTTCCACTTCGCCAGTGGAAGTCAAAGTGGTACATTTCACGTCCGACGCCAGTAGACTGTTGTCAAAGTGGAGCGCAGATTTGCTAGTATCGTGCTTACGTGATTGTGATCGGATGTGACCTGACGCGACCGCTTTTTGCAATTTCACAATTGTTCCTTCCTTCTGGGATTGTACAGGCACCCTGCGACTAATTTAATCGCTAGGGCAAAGAATGAGACGTTCGGTGTACGTCGCATGTCGCCATTTTAGTGCCAATGTCGGCGTGCTTCATGAGGGTCTGCTGGGATGTATAGTCTGAAAATGCTAATCCACGCCTGAAGATGCGCGAGACTTTTATGATTTCATGCACAGACCTGCAGCACTGCTGAGGATCGGCTGGCAATTTCTGGCCGTTTGAGTACATCTTTTCGTGATGTCAATGCCGTCCAGGGCGACGCGGTCTTCACATCTGGTCGTCGTGGTGAAGGCAGGGGCTTACCGTTGGCCGCTTCCCAAGGCCACTATAATGCAGGGAGGTTCCTAAACCTTATGAATGTGTCTTCTGCTGCTGACCCTGGCGCCCCACTGTTGCTTGCGAATAAGCAGCAGCTAGAACAGCGAATTCCTCCCAACATCATGTCGACACTTGCTCGCACTCTCTATCTCTCACACACACACACACCAGCACCCGGGCATTGATTCGCACACAGAAACATGCCCTGGCTGTCTAACTTTCACACTCTCTCTCCCTTTCCTCTACCTCCCGCCCTCTCTGCGCACAACTGCATCAAAACCACCGTGTTGGGAACTGAGATTTTGTCTCGGTTTCCGTGGGATGGTTCGAAGTTCTTCTGGCAGGACTATACATCACTCAAAGCGGGCAGTTTGTTCTACACACGGATCCGCTGCAGGACCGTCTGCCACAATTCTTCGTCTCGCATGCGATGTGCATGAGATAGCCCATGGCTTCGTGAGGATCTGTTGGCCCAAGCTGTACATAAGAAATCCAGCACACACAGTGCAGCCCCTAGCCACGGCTCAGCAGATCGGAGTGATAAGATGTTGCAAGAGAGTCGTGCGAGCCCAGGTTCTGGCACAGGTGCACTGATCCAACAAGAAACCTGGTTAGCAGTGCTGTCCTCAGGGTCAGTCAGGGACGGCAGAGAGCATCACAGTCAGATTCCCATGAATTGCAGGAACTCTGCCTGTACACCAATCTGAGACTTGGATCAATTTGTTGCGCTCCAGTGGAGTGCTGCATGCTCGGGTCCCTCTGCCTACTCCGGTGTTCCTTTTCACGTCGGGCGCAGCTCAGACACATGTAGTGAGTTTTGCATCGTGCTCTGCTGCAGCTGTCATCTGCTGATCTTCTTGCCACCCTCCCTGCACTCATTTCAGCTCGTGAAGAACACGTAGCATTCGAGGAACCATATTTCGACTCTTACATGCACCGTTTATTCCAAAGTGTTGACGACCCCAGTGGCAGAGTTTATCCAAGCCGGGCCCTCAGTTGTGAATGGTTCCAGTCAGATGCAGGGGTGCGTATATCACTGCAGACAACCCAGCAGGCCGTCCGGACATCTCCAGCAGCCGTGGTTGCTGTGCATGAGTACCTTTGACACAAAAGATGATGGTTAAGTCTGTTAAGTGTTCATCCGTGGCAACCAGAACTTCAGCTCGTGCCATCTCGTGCCCAGATTGTTTCAATATGTTTCAACTGTTTCACAAGGAACGCAATGCGGCATCGAGTTGAATGCACTCGTCTCCCCACACACCTTCTCCAGGTGTAGTGGCTAGTGGTTGCTTTGTTGGCGCACGACGCTTCAGCCCCTGATGATATTCATCCTGTGCTGACATGCAGTGCAAAGTGCGGCCGCCAATGTGCAGTCCTGCACGATGGCGAGCACCCGGTCTAATTGCACAATCCAGCATTTAGCCGCTAGAAGCATCTTCACGTGCGGACAGAGCGCAAACTTACGCTCTCCAAGCATACGCTTCCGGCAAGTTCCGTGTAGACATGCCGCGTGGTTCGCGAGTGGTCACTTGCACGTTAACCGGCCGCCCTCCTCGTCGAAAGCATTGCCAGCTGCCGTTTAATTATTGCGGCAGCAGAACATAGGAATACCTGCGACGCGTTTGTTTATGCACCGGATTTGAGTATTTAAGTTTGCTGCTTGAAGTTCCACTTCCCTCTAGCCGTGACACAGGAGAGCGTCAGGCAGTTCCTAATTCAATATGACCGAGACACTGAGCTGCTGATAGAGGAAGTTGAATCTGGCATGGTTGAACTCGAGTTGTTGGTTGTCCCCTGGTGGTCCTAGTCAAGACGTCTTTCTACGGTTCTACGGTTTAGGGAATCATGGTAAATGAAACGGTGTGTAGTTGCAACGGCAACACCGCAACATCATCCACATCATCACCGCTGCCACCACCATCAAAATGATCGAGTTGCTCGCCTGGCCTTGCAAAGCGTCCTTGTGTATGCCAGGAATTTCAGTAGTTTTGCCATCGCTACCCTCAGGTATGCTGTGCGTCTGCTGACCACATTTCAGAGCCTCCGGTGGCAAGAACGTACTCCAAACATGCAAGAGTCGAGAAGCTTCAGCAGAGTCACAAGCTCCAGGCCACACAAAGTGCCATGCTGGGAACGTCTGTCTCCAAAAGATGCAGATGACTGCGTCAGCCACACGCAACTGGCAGCCTCTTCTCTGAAGACATAATTTGATTTGCATGGTTTTGCATCGCACGTTCTCCAAGTACACTCGTGTATGTGGCAGTTTGCTTGCGCATGACCAATCTCAGCGACGGCTGCATACTAATGCTTCACAGTGTTCAGCATGAGGAGCTTCTGAAACCGGGCAGCGGGCAGATTCACAATCTCAGATCTTCGGAGGCCCTGATGTGTACGGCATAAGTACCCCGGGACCATATCCTGGTTGTTCGGTTACGTTTGACAGAGCTTCGTCGGCGATCAGAAGATAGTCAGAAGATAAAGAATGAGAAAGCCCAAGTTATTGCAGTGGCATTTGCTCACGAGTTGCACCACTGCTCTTGGGCGGCTCACACATCTTCGCATGCCTTCATTTCTGCACTGGTTGTAGTTGACTACAATACCTTGTATGATACTTGCGCAGCAGCCACAAGGAGTGGCTCACGGCTACAACATGACCCGCAATTAATCTCCCGCCCCTGCACTCGGCAACTGCTGTAGGTGCATCACCGAGCATGAGTCAATGAGGTAATATGGTGTGCAGAACCGGAACGTAGAAAGAAGCCCCTCGAAGCATCGACTAAGCCTACGCATTCCACAGCATGTTGGATCCAGCGTGTCGAGACATATATACCAGGCTTTTCACAGATCAAAGCCTCTGCCGACATAAACTCTGATTCAATGGAGCTATGTGTGCATTATGTTGCCGCCCGAGCTTCTGTGCAAAAACATTGTCTTGCCCCGTGGATATCTTGCATGGGTGTACTTGACAGGAAACAGACTTTACAACATTCTTGGATGAGATCATGGCTGATGGGCTCAGCAACAACGATCCTTGACAACGCACTGAAGGTAGGCATCGTTGCGTTTGCGTTCTGAGTTGCATGTAACACAAGTCTCGGTTCTCAATGGCTTTAGAAGAGGGCACAGGCTGTCTGCACGGGTATTTGCCTGGTTCAGTCCGTCCGCCCAACGATTCTTGCTTTCGTGGCGCTGGCCATTCGCACTTCCGAGGACATGGTCAACATCTTCCAAAAGTTTATTCCGGAGCTCAGGGGCGATGGCATTTATGCCCAACTGCGCATTCAGGACCGATTTCTGCGTTCTAAATGCTGATTGCGGCTCGTGCAAAGGGCATAAGACGCTTCCTGGATTTTGTGCTGGTAATCTGTCAGTGTCGCACGATGCGCACATGTACACACACACACACACATATAGTCTCCTAATTATCGGCTTGGTAGGAAAGGCATTAGGAGGTCAGTTTTCACGATCGTAAGAACGGCCTTTACCTTGCATCCGTGGCCATTTTGGCGATGAGCCGATCGGTCCAGATTTTCGATCGTCGGCGTGGGCAAGACCAGATCCTGCCTTGCTGCCATGTCGTTCGCCGTGCCGACGGAGCTCTTTCATTAGCACCAACAGCAAACTGCAGGCAATGGTAAATCCCTTGCACCAGCTGCTGCTACGGGGGATGCCAAGGAAAAGAGCAACGGGTGCCTCCTCTGCCTGCAAGGGGCCATGCCAACGGAGTTTTCTCATCGGCCCCAGCAGACTGCAAGCAATGGTGAATCCCCTGCACGAGCTGCTGCTATGGTGCATGCCGAGGAAAGAGCAACGCAGGCCTCGTCTGCCTAGAAAGGGTCGTATCGACGGAGCTCTTTTACAGTGCCAAGGGTCGTGTACCGTGGCCTGCTTCTTGTGCCCCTGCCCTCCACTGTTACAAGTTTGCTTTATCCGAAGGTGCTGCCGGCAAATGCCAGTCTGCCGTAAGGTTTGGTCTCCTTCGGGGATTCCATTTTGGACAACACTCTGTACGGGCGAAGTGTCAGCAAGGCAATGTGCCCATGCGCCTGCCGGTGGTGGTTGCACGCCCAAAGCGTGTGAGTCAGTGGAGTCTCAGTTGAGGCTACTTCTTGCTTGAAGTCTCTGGCCCTCGAAAACGTGGGTGTGCCATATTTTTCGGGTTTCTTTGAGAACGGACAGAAGTGCTGTGGCTTTGGGTTAGTAAGAGCGAGAATGCCTCTGTTGCAGCCGCGTTTGACCGTCTAGCCCTTCGGGGCTTGTGTGAGCGCCCTCTTCAGAGAAGTCGAAGGGACGTGCTCTTCGCTTGTGCTTCGGGTGCCGCCAGACGGCCCTGCTTCGCTGCACTTTGTGACGTGTACAGTTTGCTTCCAAGTGCCTGTTGACAGCGGTAGCCTGCACTGTAGGATTTCTAGATTTGATTTGCAACGTGTAAGTGAATTTCAATCACGTGTTTGAGCTGTAACATGCATCTGCCTGTCGGGATAGTGGCATTGGCACCAAATGCCGTTATCGTACCCACCAGGTGGTACGGTTACGTAGCGCCCGTTGAATAGTCGACTCGACTAAAGCGTGAGAATTAAAAATCGATAACCCGTCTCGTGGTGATGTCGCTGCAGGTCTGATGTGCGGATGGATGACGGTCGTCCCTGATACTCCCAAAGGAGCTTGAGGCTTGGGAACATCTTTTCTGAGTTTTTTGTTCGGACGATTGCTGCGATCGCCAGCGATGTTGGTGCACCCCTCGGCGATTGGGGTTTCCGCTCGGTTTTGTGAAGATCGAGATGTTCGATTTTGTTTCAGATCTGTGGCCGACTCCCACGTTGGGGTCGCACAGAAACGGGTTGTGCGAATGTTGCTTGTTCAGTCAGTTTCGAGTGGTGTAGATCGTGTAAACTGGTCTCCCAATTAACGATTTTGTAGGTAAGGAATTCGGAGGTCAATTTTCACGATCGTAAGAACAGCATTTACTTCGGATCCGTGGCCATTTTGGCGATCAGCCGATCGGCTCAGATTTTCCACCCACTTCACCCTTTATACCCTTTTGATCTTTATGGGATACAATGAATGATCAAGTTGGCGGTATATACATACATGTGTGTACACATGTATGTATATATATATATATGTACATATGTATATATGTAGATGCGCTGACCCGGGAAAGTGGGTCCCAGTTTCGTCCCCCTGAGGAATCTGCGGACGAAATTCTGAAGCTTCTGAAGACGAAGTCGTTCCCAAGCAGCTGAAGCTCAAACTCCGCGCGAAAACGAAAGTTGAAGACGAAAATTCTGTTGTGAATGCGAAATTCGTCCCGGAGACGAATCCGCAGCACCCAAGACACATAGGTTCCCTAATGCCTATCCGACGTCGTCGAAATTAATTCGACCCTGAGCACGAAATGCTCCGCGGCCCAATTTCGTTTTCAAATTTCGTCTACGTGCAATTTTTCGTTTTCCATCGCTGCTGTACCGCCGCATGTGCAAGCCCACATACCCAAGCTTCTCAAAAACTCAGCACTACCACTGGCAGCGCCCAGCCATAGGCCAAACCACACGATGCGATCCAAAAGACATTACTGTAATTCGACGCCTTGGCCAGGACGAGGCAAAACGAGCCCTACTGTCGCTGCTGAGCACTGTTTGGTTTCTCAAGGACTGTCGCATCACAAGCCGGCGGCATGTGCATTTTGTTTGTTCAGGCTGTGCTCTGCAGTGCTGTGAGTTGACTTTTCGAAGCCGCGAAGCCTTCAAGATTTAGGGCAAAGTTGCGGATCAGCAGCTTCCGCGATCTTTTCGAAGTCGCGAAGACCTCCAAGTTTTAGGACGACTACGACAGCATGGTGGAGGTTCAGAAGCCGGGACAGCGACTGTCCAAACTTACTTTCCAGGCCATCGAGGAGAGATGGCGTCGAAGCATGATGGCTTCTCAGACGGGTTTGAGCAAGTGCTTGCAAGCAAGGAGACACTTGGCGGGCGCCAGATGTCCAAAGAACAGCTCACGGCATTAATGGTGCTCCTTGCACTTCGAGTCTCGGATTGAACAGAATCTCTGGACGCTTCGGATTCCCACAGAACCATGCTTCAACGTCCAACCACGAGATGAGCGAAGGTGGTCTCGGCAAAAGCTCAGACTTTGCCAAGCTATGTCCTCCCTCCGAGAGGCGCACCCCGGAGCAGGCCGTGAAACAGTTCAAACCACGGCACAACCAAAGCCAAACACATGACAATCAAGTCAAAAGTAAAATTCTTTACACGGCTCGGTGACCCGCGGGACAGGTGTTGGCGTATGCTCTGGCCAATCTGGATGGCTATCTCCCGTCGGTTGCAAGTCTACAGGGTGAGGTCTACCATCAGATCGTTGCACTTGCGTCTCAGCTGATTCGGCGGGCTTGGCTCGGATTATGCCTACCAGACAGTTTTACGCAACATTACGCCGCACGGCACTGATAAGGTACGCATGCTTTCTGACTTCAACTTCGCTCAGATGTTGCAAGGGGAGAATAATCCACATTCTGTGTGGCAGCTGCAGTGTGCCAGAGAAGACGAGGGCGAGGATGTGTATCGGAGCCTTGGATTTCGTTGAGACTGGTGCAGTTCTTGGCAACAACCTGACTGTACCAACACAACGATGCCTCAGGACTTTCCTCTTCGTTCAGGTCAGCATCTTGTGCGGGGTGCGCTTCCAAGTAAACACGCTTGGCCATGTCAATTCAGGCGCAGTTGGATTGTGAGTAGTATTAAATCAACCATGAACCCGGTGTCCGTGTTTTGCGAGCACTGAATTTAAGCATGATGTGATTAGCCGAAAGTTCCGATCTTGTTTAGTTACCGAAAGAAAATTAGTGCTCAAGGCGGGCGTGTCAGATCTCTGGTTGGAAGAAAATTGATTGATAGTCGTAGTAGTAGTAGTAGTAGCAGTGGTGGTGGTGGTAGTAGTAGTAGTAGCAGTAGCAGCGGTGGTGGTAGTAGTAGTACTAGGCAGTAGCAGTAGGAGGAGGAGTAGTAGTAGCAGTAGAAGCAGAAGTAGAACTAGAACCGTAACTAGTAGTGGTAGTAGTGGTAGTAGTAGTAGTAGTAGTAGTAGCAGTGGTGGTGGTGGTAGTAGTAGTAGTAGCAGTAGCAGCGGTGGTGGTAGTAGTAGTACTAGGCAGTAGCAGTAGGAGGAGGAGTAGTAGTAGCAGTAGAAGCAGAAGTAGAACTAGAACCGTAACTAGTAGTGGTAGTAGTGGTAGTAGTAGTAGCAGTAGTAGTAGTAGCAGTAGTGGTCGGAGTGGTCGTAGCAGTAGTACTCGTCGTCGTCGCCGTCGTCGTCCTTGTGGTATTTAATGGTCGCACTCTAGCATCAGTGCGTGAGGCTTCAGTGAAAGCAACCTTCCCACACAAGCGGTTTAGCAAATCACCACAGCCTTGTGGAATCGTTCCCGGCTCGGGAACCTGAGAATTATTGGGCTGGCCTTGGGCCCGTGAAGTTGTGAGGCATCAATCAAGAAGTCGCCCGACCGGCCCAGGAACCTGAAGATTGTTGATTGCCCTCAAAACTTGTCCGTTGATGACTGGGCTTCAGAAGGGCCTCTTAGCTTGATGGCTTGGCCTTTCCACACAAACGGTTCAGTAAGCAACCCTACCCTTCTGGCCGCAGGCCCAGCCAAATATCAGGGCTTCATCCAAAAGCCTTGTTTGCTTCTGCCATTAACCTTGAGGTTCAATAAGCAGTCCCACAACACATCCAGCGCAGGTAGCCCAATCAAACCGGCGAGAACATCTACAGCGTTGCTTCCAAAAACTATCCAAGCTTGAAAAGCTTTAACTTGTTGAATACTTATTCCGTCCCCCAAACCAAACAATGATAAATTATGCAAGGTCACTGGCAGCATGTCTTTGGCTGGCTCAATGTTCCTGACCGAAGCGAACGGGCGCTCTGTCATGAAAGGGCTGGCTTGCTTGCACGACCTTACCGAGACTTGGTCGCCGTTCAAGCCTTCAAGCAATGGCTCATCATGGCAAGTATGGTACGGCAAGCAACGATTTCGCTGCTGAGGGTGTGGATCCTGCCGCGGTGTACTGGAATTACATCTCCAGCCGAGCGGAAGCATTGGACTTGCATGTCGCGACCCCGAGCCACTTGGTCCTGGCCAGGCTTGCGTGCTTGACACGATCTTGGGCCGCACTTGGAAACAAGTAGGCCGTTTTGGGGAATTAGCGCGCCTTGCAAGCAGCAAGCACCAAGGAACCGTGCAGGCGTCTTCCTTACAAGCCCTGGCAAACGATTGGGAGGAATTGACCAACCAGGAAAAAGAGCTTCGTTGGCAACCAGGCTTCCTCATCGAGACTGGCCAATCTCATCTTGACATGTGTGTTCGCCAGTGCTTCAGCTGACAGCCCAGGATGCATTGCTGGAGCTTTTCCTCTCAGATGGACACGACGACAAAGCCTTCATTCTATTGTACCTGCCCTTGTTCCTCGCGAACGCAACGGCAAATCCGGAACTCGGCCTCCGAACCTCAAGCTGAAATCCGGGCCGTTTCCAAGCTGTTATAGCTTCAGCACATGCACGACAGTGACATTCAAGCATCAGCTTCAACTAGCTATCTAGCTTAATTCCGGGCCAAGCTGATACTGTGGCGAGGGAAACTTGTCGCCTGCAGCTCAGCCGCCTGGAGCGTGAGGACACACAACTGCGCGCACCATACCATGCCATGCAATGGCCGACAGCAGTTTTAAACTCCCATGCCCTGAGTGGTACTTCCGTACCCTGACACTGACAACTTTGAACACGGATTGCTGAACTTGCTTTTTTCTCGTGCTTCAACATCAAGCAGATGCGTCATTTCACAGTTTTCGCCTATCTTCGACTCTGGTGAACAGAACTAAAGTATCCAAGGCGCTACTATGGAATGAACGGTGAAAAGCTGCAGAACCCACCCTGCTTGTGTGTTCGTCTTTCCGAATCTTCCTGCCTGCCGGCTTGGCATCATTGCATCTCGACACCTGTGCACAACTGAAGAGCCAGCATCCACCAACTCTCTCCGGCAGATCATCCTTTCTACCCATCAATCTTGCACGACGTTGCTACTTGCGAGTGGTGACACCGCTAGCTACAAATTCAGGGGTACATTTGTTGTGCGGGCCGGCCCGACGATGCGGCCACTAATCATGTCCACCGTACCTGCGGTGATGTTTGGGTTCATAAAGACGGCACACTCGTGTGGGGTTATCCGGTCCTATAATTCTGTTTTCTTCGGAGATGATGTGGCGAGGGTCTAGGGTTTGCCACCCAGTTGCAAAAGGGAAACCCAAACCCCAAGTGTCTTGCAATGGCTCTCACGGGAGTGCGCAGCTGTTCAGCGATGGAGGAGACCTAAGGGGCATCTAGGTTACCGAAATAAGTTTGGAACATGATTTTGACAACGTTTGACTGCCACATTCTGTGACCAGGAGGCTTGTCATTATCTGTACCGGAATGAATCAGGCAGGCATGGGAAGTGCTTGAGAACGCTCAAGCATGGTCTCAGCCAAGGCACAGACGCCCACTGATGACAAGAAACCATTGCACCATGCATGGTCGAGCAAGGTCCTTGGCACGGGGTGGATGTGGGCGTGTGCCAATCGGCATAACAGGTGGTCAGAAGACCCGACTGTCGAACAAACGAACATGCCACTCAACACAGGCAGATAACCTAGCCCGGTAGCTGCCTGTGCGGAGTTGCGCGCCGGGATTTTGTTCAAAGCGAACCACGTCCCTGAAATCGCTGACAATCGTTCAGCAGGAAGTTTGCCATGAGTCGGCACAGGTAATCTTGCTCTGACTAGCTCATCTTTAGCCAGAACATCATGCAATCACATGTTAAGTATGTGAGACTTGTATGTATGTGTAGATGTATGTATATATGTATGCATATACCAAACCCTGCATATTTTGCCGTACTCGCACATACTGATTTTGCTCACCTCACCTGTAGGCCAGAAGACCTATGCTGTGGGTAACACGTCCTCGCAAGCGTGCTGTTACACATGCATCGTGTTGGCGATCTTGCTTGTCTGTGCCCTGTGCTTGGATATTGCTGAATGACTTCCTGTCTCTTTGTGCCGACTGTTTATGAGCAATGCATTATCATCAGGACATGGCTTGCAGTTCCTGGTGGAGCTCTATACGAAATTAATGGCACACCGCTGTCTCAACCAGGAAGCCTCCACAGTGACAGTGGACATATCATCCCTTGCATCCGCAGCAAAGAACGTTGACGGCGCTCGTCTCCTCAGTGCTTTGGCTTTGCATAAAGCCGAAATCAGTGAGGGAAATCGCTGTGCTTCGCCTTTACAGCATGCAAGGACTGTGTCTCGATTGCTCTCGGATCGTCAAACACGGCACCGGTGTAACCGTTCTGCTGACCGCAGAGAGCTATCAGTTCATGTCAGGCTCGCAACAGGGGCAATCGCCTCGGTTCGGAACATTTTTTGTGGCGTTATGCGACACTATGAGCAGCACCCTGCCACACAGCACAACCCGTTTGATTCAATGAACTGTTTGCCCATCGTTCTAGGCTACGGGGTGGGCGGGGTCGCTCAGACGGATTGCAGCACGAACTCGGGTTAGGGCCGGAGCGTTGCGTGTGCAGCATGTCAGTCTCATGTTGTGTTGGCTTTCGGGGCCTTCGGCCCATGATTTTGCAAGACCGATCTCGCTCAGCCTGAGCACAGCCGGGTGAACCCACCCGTGGCGCAAAGTCCTACTTCTGAGACTTCAGTCTACTTCAGCAAAAGCTGAAGCTAGCTACTGACATCCATAAAATGTCTTACGAGGTAGGTGATGGGTGTCCACAGCGGTTCGGCCAGTTTGTCGTTGTTAGTGGCTAGATGTGGCCAGCTCGCACTTCTTGGGATTTCTTCTGGCGATGTATGCTTCCCTCCGCTTTCGATGTGCATCACCGTACTGGGTGTAGCCAGCACGATGGGGCGAGGTGTGGCCCTGCCAGCTGATGCGTGACAGCCCTCCCTCCCTGCATAACAAGCCCTGATCTGGCACTGTTGCAGGCCAGCTCGTCGACGAAGATCGCAAGTTGCAGATGTTGGAGCTCGTGGCTGCGCAGCAGTTGCTCGTCAATAAAATGCTTTACCTATCTTTCTCGTATCGGTACCAAACAGAAAGTGCTCTCATCCACCGTCGCCTCCCGGAACGACAATGTATTAAGCCTGTCCCGGAGAGCTTTGGCCATGTTTTCCAATTTGGACTGAGGCGTCGCTTGGAGGATGCCCTTATGGGCAGAAGACAGTCAATGCTGGTGAAGGAAGTACTGCCATCGGAAGCTTGACAAATTTGAGAGCTCCTGGCCGGCTGTCTGGACCTGACAAGTCATGACGGTGTGACATTACGCCGTGTGCAAACGGCATCGTCGTTTCGCTTCGTTCCTCCACAACCCTCCGAACCGAAAATCTAGATGAATTGATGAAATCACTCCCAGCCTGTGTAGGCACAAAAACTGGCAACGGGGTACCGTGTTTTTTTGTGTCGGACAGGCCAGGCCCCATTCAATCTTGCAGTGGTCGTCTCCAAACAAACTGGAGGATGGGTGAATGAAGGGCCATGCGTTTAGTTTCTGCAGTGGTGGAGCACAAAATTGTCGACAGCGTCCTGGTTGACCTGGCTTGATCCTACCACGGGGTGATGGATCTCTTGACATCTGTTGACTGCTTTAGTGGGGCAGTCATGGTGTCGTTGGAGCTTGGTGAATTGTCTGAAGTTCAGTCGTATTCTATGTGGTGTGGCGCGTGGGTATTGAGCACTCGCCGAAAACTGTCAAGTAGTCCAGCCCCAGGAAGAAGGGAAGTTCTGGAGTCTCTGGGCAAAGAACGAAGCGTCCAGGCATCGCATCCTCACACCCGAGGTGCGTCCTTGAGACCAGCCATGCGGGAGCCCAAAAAAACCTCGGGCTCGGAAGCCTCGACGAATCGATCCGTCCAGAACTGGCGTCAGAGTTTACATGTCTCTTTCCGCTTAGGCCAGTCTGACGCTTCTGTTCTGGTCAGCCTTATCCAACACGGGAACCGAGGATACAGTATTGTCAGATGTATTCTGACCGAGCGGTCCAGTTGCCGTCATCTCCCGCTAGGGAGACCTGCCCAGTACATGGATGATTTGCTGCATGATTTCGTAGAAATGAACAGCACATGTGTACAGTTCAAACAAGCCCGGTTCAGTGAGAGCGTGGTGCTCTACAATGTTGTTTAAGCCCAATGTGGCGACTCTGTGGACAGGGTCGAGTAAACTTGACCACTTCGCTCTCAAGTTTGTTCAACAGAACCTATAACAAACCTTGTCATGTCCATTTTGCGCTGAGCGAAGGGCGGTCCTGCTGTACGGTTAATGCATCGCCCTTTCGGGATGCTGTCCGATTGCCAGTCGTGGCGCCGCTGGCCTGTTCAAAGTGACCCTGCGATTTGGAGGGTGTGAAGTGCTGCGTGATTGGCAGCCTTTCCCATTAGGACCTGAAGCTCCCACATGTGTGTTAGGTCTTTTCTTGCCGAAGGCACAGTCAAAGATCCGCTGGGCTTTCCTGCATAATTTGCATCCATGACTTCGAGCCCGCCCGAGTGCAAAAAAGAGACTTTTCGCTTGATCTCTTGTGTCGGCCAAGACTGCAGCTGCAGCCGACAGTGTCGGCATGCTTGAAAGCTGCCGCACTCATGCCTTTGATGCTTCTGTCGCCCTAAGAACCGAGCTCACTACCCGAGCTAATCCCGAGCTCATCGCTATCGACATAAAGACTGCAGTGTCTTTCCAGAGTTCGCAGATGTTCGGGCTCAACGCATATTCTGCAGATCTGCCCGTCAGCTCGACACGCGTACGCTGACAGCGACGGTTGTGGCAAGCCCTTATTGTTGGGAAAGTTGCAACTGCTCGGTGGCTGGTACTCAGACTACAGATATCAGCGTTTCCTGATTCGTTTCCTCGGCCGCAGCCGCTCCGGCTCAGCCTCGGACCCGGCCCAGGCCCAGTGGGCGAGGGTTTGCGAC